TCTAAAGTGGCATCTTTTGTCCTTACATGTCTCTAAAATGGCATATGTTGTTATTAAATGTCTCTAAAGTGGCATCATATGTCCATACAAGTCTCTAAAGTGGTATATATTGTCCTAACATGTCTCTAAAATGGCATTTTTTGTCATTAAATGTCTCTAAAGTGGCATCATTTGTCCTTACAAGTCTCTAAAATGGCATAATTTGTCCTTACGTCTCTATGAATGCTAATTCACAATTATTTGAAATGCCACCGACAGAAAGCGTTGTAACTAACTGTAACTATACAGGGGCCAATTTACGATAATTGATATTTCCAAAAATACAAAATTAAAAATTAAGATATTCATAATGGCGATGATTTTTTATTGAATTGCAAGGAAACACAATTATATACAACACAATTATATACAAAAAGGCATTTTAATTCCTTTCGCCTTGTTTATATCATTATGTTAAGTCTTTCAATTAATTTTCTTTTGAAGGTGAACGGACCGTGTCCTATTATCACAGGATGTGTACCAAATTAAGCGTGACGTACAGTTGAACGCGCAGGGTAGGTACAACGCGAGGACATTGAGCAAACTGATGTTTTCATCGTTTCAGAAAGATCTAATCTAGTTTCTGGATAAAGTATAAGTATAATGCGCGGTTACGGTAAGATACAAGACAAACGACTTGAATTTGCGTTGTACCGTGTCTAAGGTAAATGTACGCGCGCGTTTTACCGAATATTACATTCGGAGTTTGTGCGGGTTGAAAGGCATACAGCCGCGACAAAATGGTTAAAACAACTTTTTCTCAGACTTTAGAGTCGATTTCATGGTTTAAAACCTTCTCTGGTGATTCTATTTTCGAAAATGCATGAAAGACCATTCAATGTCGCCTATTGAACCTTGAAAACCAATATTTAGACTGAGGATTGAAAGGTGTTCACGACAACTTTCAGCTCATCTTTATTACGACAGACCGGAAGAATTTTCGAGTCGAGTGAATGGTGATAATGTTCTGTTTTATGAAGCAGGAAAGTCAAAAAATTACTAATATAATAGAAATTTAAGTAAACATTAGAAGACTATTGAGAAGCATATTCAAAATCGAATCCACGGCAAAATCTGAATAATTGAAATATTCACACGCGGACGTCACAGAACGCACTTCCGTTTTATAATCGATGATTTTATCAATCAAAAAATATTTTTATGAATTTATCCGATATCTGCTGAAATATGGTATGTATACTTGTGTTGATTGTTAAAATACAAAATAGGTAGGGTAAGGAATAGTACCACGGACAGGTTGTACGATGCAGTCATGTTTTCACCCTATATTTGCAATACAACAACCATTCTTATTGAAATTTTTATGTTTTATTCTGGAGACAATTTCAAACATGGAAAAAATACTTTAAAGAAATTCCTAATTTTAATATTTTGAAAGGCTTTTTTCAAAAATACATCACTGTCAATAAAATACAGGTTTTTGTTTGGACAACTGATCTTTTAACGTCATTTCAAAGATTGTCTAGCTTTTGAATTTTTGTTCGCCTAAAGTCGGGCCTAAAGTCTTTCCAGATGTGTTTGATGCCATATTAATTATGGTTGATTAGTGTTGTTAATTTTTGTCATATTCAATAGTATTATTACAGTGCATTTGGCCTATAAAAACTTGTCACTCTGGGTCATGTTTCCTCTGGAAACATTCTTTCGCCATTTGGCTTTTCCGCCACCGTCACTCAGCATGCAACCCTATGGCATGTAAATTGTACAATGCTTTGAATATGTCAGGTTTCCCTGACAATTTCATGATAGAATTGACACAGCTATATTAACATCTCTGAAGAATCTAATGCTGGGAATACTTGGAGATTCGTGATGTTTAACCTCATTTTTTACCACATTCAGTATTGAACAGTTTGATCGGGTTGAACTCGTGTCCGTTGACAAGAAAATTGACCTCAGTTCCTCTATCTGGGCAATCTGCGAGACACTTCTCAAAATGACACCCAGAGCAACAAGTTTTTTGTTGGCCTAATGCACTGAAATAATATTTAATATGACTAAAAGTGAAAAACAATAATCAGCCATGATTGTTAATATTGCAACAAATATATCTGAAAAGACTTTAGGCGGTTGAAAATTCAATTGCCAGACAATATTTGAAATGACGTTTCAAAAGTTCAACTGTTCAAGCAAAACCTGTATTTTATTGACAGTGAAGTGTTTTTGAAAAAAAGCCTGTCAAAATCATAAAATTAGAAATTCTGATAAGATATTAATTTTCCATGTTGGAAATTGTCTCTAGAATAAATCCTGAAAATTTCAATAAGAATGGTTGTTCTATTGAAAATATGGAGTAAAAATACAACTGCATCATTCAACCTGTCCGGGGTACTATGTAAAAGTTGCTTGATCTTGCCCCAGAAGCAATCTTTTTTTTATTCCTTTTTTTATTCATAGAAAAACATTTAATAGCAGTTACATTAACATATACAATATTCATAATATCATAGAAGTCACAAAATTTTCCATCATATTCTTTTTTAAGGCATCTAACCACACGAGTCTAATTTATTTAATCTAGTACCCATAATGTCCCACCTTTTTTCTCTGCCTATTTGCTTATCAATATTACAATAAGCTATTACATTTGCTTTAAATCCTTTAAAGGTAGGTCTTAACATCGAGTATTTGCATAGGTACAAATATCTTTTAAATATACACCACATATTTGTCAGGATAATTGTTCTGTCATTTATACATATATTGGTCCTATTAAAATATTCTGTTTTGTACAAAGTCCTGTCAATTCCTCTGGTAACCAGTGATTATGTCCATCTGGCAAACAATGAATTTCTTTGGTAACACACGCAACATCTCTTGATTTCGGTCAATTGTATTTAATATAATTTCTTCGCCTCCTCTGAAAAAAATGTAAAAGAGAAAGATTGATTAGGAGAGCTTTTAAGAAGTTTCTAACTTTTTTATTCTGTAAGTAAGACTTTGACATCCTGAAATACTACGTTCGTTTCTACAACGGATTTTTGTGAAGCATTGAGATTCCATCTTTTTAACCGTTAACTTTTGCTTATAAAATAAATACCTTGTACTGTACAACCAAAATAAAATGTGTCCAAGCTAGATAATGAAATCAAGTCTTAGTTTTCGTAAAGAAACTTGTGCGATCTTGAACGATTTTCTTTCTTTTTCTTATTTTTGGGCCCAAAATCTGCTCCTCTCCATAAAAATGGACAATTTAGATAGAAAACTGGAATTATTGGGCATTATTTTAAAAATTTTGGACTCAGCATTTTTGTCTCCCACCCTTTGAATTTTTAGGGTCGCCCCAGGTGTTTGTTTAGCATGGACATTTTCTTATGTCCTTGGGTTCGAACCCCCCATCCCCAACCCACAGACCACCGTCCTACAAATCCATTGGCTGATAATTTACCCCGGTGGAATATTCCCAACAACAGTTTATGCTTGATGTTATGGGTAAACTCCACTATAAAGAGCAATAGAGTCATTTGACCGAGGAAGGATTTGGACGGTCTGTACATGTATTTTCGACGGGCATTTTTCCGATGGGTTTGTCTATTGGTTCTATACTTTGAGGGGCATATGTTAAATCCGGAGGGACTGTAGTATGATAGTGACTGGTAAATGTGAGTCCATACGCAGAACTATCATGTAACATATTCCACACCACTTCCCTCATATGTACTCATTATCCCAACGAACGAAGTTCGTTAGGGATATAGTGAAGCCCTCCGTCCGTCCGTCTGTCCGTCAGTCCGTCAGTCTGTCAGTCCGTCAGTCAGTCAGTCCGCCCGTCCGTCTGTCCGGAAGATAACTCAAATACTAGTCGACAGATTTTCTTCATATTTAGTGGAAAGATGTATATTGGTGAATAGTTTTACGCAAAAAAAAATTTTTTCAAGATGGCCGCCGCTTTAAAAATGACGGGACTTTTTCGCAAAAATCATAAATTTTTCATTCTAAACCAAAGTAATTAATATTATTGTTTGAAATTTTGGTAGTGCATTCACAAAATTTATCTATTTCACATATATTCCGTGTTTTTCATCCTGACCCCCAGGGGCCATGTATGGGGGGACAGGAAAACAGAAATTTTCGCTAATTTTTAGATCTTTCTGAAGTATAGCTTTATTATACTCAAATGAAAGGCAATTAAGAGTAGATTGCAAATATTGTATCTTTTTTCTGATTCGAGCCTCGTAAAATTCAAAATGGCCGTCTAATGTACGATTTCGCAATAATTTTTCGATCCCTTCAAAGTATGGCTATATTATACTCAAATTGAAGGAATTTTGGAGTAGATCACAATTATGGTATTATTTTTCAGATTTGTACCTCAGAAAATTCAAAATGGCTGCTTTGCAGGAATTTGCAATTCTAAAATCTAATTTTTTCATTTTCAACCAAAGTAATGAGTATAATTGATTGGAATTTGGTAATTGATATTTTGTTCGTTTGGATTTGCTACTCCGCGGAGTTGCCGTTGTCTAGTTTGTCTTCTGTTAAGGTATTTCGAGATTACTTTTGTTATTAATTTTTCATTATTTTTAGTAATTGATTTTGGTTTTGTCCGTTTTGAACTCTTTTTGCATAGGTCACTCTCTTTAATTGTTGGTGAAGTAGGAGTTTTAATAACACAAATCTCTTTTTTGAAGGCTCCTACAATCGATATCCAACTTTGTCCTGGTTTGCCCTTGTCAGTATGCCATAGCACAGTAAAAATTCTTATCATTGGTGTTCCTATGCGTAGAAAAACATGCAAGTTACTGTAAAAGCGTTCTCGATATACATGTACATTTATGTTCAATTTTTTAAATCCGTGGGTTTTAGATCCAAGGAAGGTATGCCCTTATAGGGAACCCGAAAATTTGACAGAAACTACCTAATTATAAAACTGCAATGAATTTTAAGATGGAAAACTAAAGCAAGCAGACGACGAAGGCAATTACATAGCACAACCATGCCAAAATTCCAAATGATAAGATAAATATAAAACGAAACATCAAATATGTTGGCGGATGGTCGAATTCGTGTGTCACTGTCCTTTTGGTGCACAAACAGTCAAGACAGTTTACATTTTCCGACAAAAAATATTGGGTAAGTAAATGAAGATAAAATGAAATATATTTGTCACTTATCGTTGTTAGTTTTTTCGTTTGTATCATACTAAATATAAGTTTTAATCGTTTTGGCAACGCAAACTCATTTAATTCGGGGGTGGCCATTCCAACTTCCAAATTAAGTTTCCATGCTTAATGATTAACTAAATATACAGTAGATGTTAACGATCGCGGTCTGCACGAGTTTAGTACATTTGTATCTCAAGGAACTGTTTAAAGAACTAAAAATTCTAATGTTCATTCCAGGACAAGGCGGTGCTACTCACTTTTGACTAACATCAAATCCGTTGCAGAAGCAGAATTTGTTGGAACCACAAAAAGGTAACAATTTGAATAAGTGTCACATAGTTTCTAGATAGTTTACACCTTTTTGCTTTGTTTGTCATCCGCAGGTTTTTGTCGCATTCTGTAAACACTGTGATTCTTTTCTTTCATCGCCATTCAGATAAGGAGCGTAATGGCTCCTCGAGGTTTTGAAAATTTCGGAAGATTAAATTGGGTCTGTAGGGCCTTAAAATCCTCAAATATAACATACACATACAATTGGATCGGTCCTTCTACTCTTCACAAACGTAGGATATTTATATCCATTGCAATGTTTGCATGGAGGGCAATGCGTTTCACTGGTGCGCGCACAATTCATAAATCGAACATCTAATTTTATAATGATGACAGAGCGATGGGTGGCCGACAATGTATTTACTTTACTTAATAAAGTTTATTCAAAAAAATTATTTGGCTAGATCTACGTTAATTATAAACTATGCGTTTCAGAATCAACATGGAGACGAGACCAAAAGCCGAGATCAAGACTGCAGACATGTCCGAAAACATGCAATGTCATGCCATATACTGCGCTATCCAGGCCATGCGAGACTTCTACGTCCAGAAAGACATCGCAGCTTACATAAAGAATGAATTTGACACCAAATTCGGTCCAACATGGCATTGTATCGTCGGACGCAAGTTTGGGAGCTACGTTACTTACGAGCATTATATTCATTTCAATCTTGACCTTGTGGATATTTTCTTGTTCAAATTTGGAGAAATGAACGCTTTGAGAAAATGCATGCCTGAAATCAACTGCAATGATAGTGCATGAGACATTTTATGCGCAAACAATGTAGAAATGTTTGATCCAGAAACTGTTAACCAAACTGATGAAGTAGAAACTAACAACCGGGAAAGGAATGGGTGCAATACAAACAACATGCAACTTGCACATCGTATACAGACCTCAGACGCAAAAAGACTACATCACTAAACTGTGGAACTCTTCAAACTGGTTGACAACGGATCCGTTTCGGCATTAGACTTTCTTAAGCATATGATGCCGACACACATTTGTTCCAAAAAGGTCGTGAAGATGTTGCCAGTCATTGAAAAGGAAAATCTTACTTCTTTGGCTGTGACATTTTGTTAACTGGAACACATTTGTCATCATGTACGTAATCTGTGATATATTGGAGACAGATTTCAGAGGGACTTCAGTGGTCAGAAACGTGTGTAAGAAAACAATGAAACGCCCACGCCATCTTTAAAGTTTGAAAAATTATGTTTTTATCATTTATTTACTGTTTGTCATGACAGGGGTTATTTAAGAGATTTTTTGAAAAATTGAAAGAAAGTTGTAAGCTTTTCATTTCTCAAATAATCAAATTTCCCGCCATTTTCATTTTAAAAGTTGAAATTTTTTTGAAATGTATTTTCCTATGGACCATTTTCATGCATAAATGAGTTCATTTTTCGTTTATTTATGAACCAATTGTCTTTTTTCGGCAACAAAACATGTGAGGATGAATGCCAAGCATTGGTTTAAATTATACCTTAAGCAAAGGAACGTGTGACCTCTAAAACAATTCACGATTTTTCAAACAAAAGTCCTTGAAAACCACTTTTTAAAAGTTTTTTTAAAGTTTTAAGTTTCACATATCACACTTTGACTATCCACCTGCTGATTATATTTATCATCTGTTAGATACAGTTCAGTTTATTCACATATTTTTCCAATCACTTTCACCCTGCTGTGGACCAGTGTTGTTGTGAACTAAACATATATTAGCAATAATCAGGGATGGCAGATAATAAATACCAGCATAATTACAGTAATTATTTTGATCGTTATGCATTCAATTTTTGACTTGTAAAGCTCCATGTGCAGTATGGCAAGTGATTTTAGACAGTCATATCTTTCACCATGAGTACGTTCTGAGCATAAATACAGTGGTTTTCATTAAAACAATATGTTTTCTTTCAAGTGAAGTCCCCATGATGATAAAAATAGTAATCTAACAATTCGAAAAATTATAAATAGTGACCCCACGTCAACAATTTTTTCAAAATGTTGAACTTCTTTGCTCAAAAGATAATCTTCTTTTTCTGATTTTTATTGCATGGAAAGATTATTCAACAAGGGGTCTAAAACATCTTCAAAAGTAGAATGGTATTGAAAGTCTAGTTTTGAAGATATCAATTTTCGGTGACCAAAATTATGCTGAAAACAATGGATAGCATGAGTTTTTCCTATGGGGAAATAACATGGGATATATGGTTTTTAACTTTAACGTATTTTGATATCCTTTTCAGAAGTTATTAATATACAGGGTGTCAAAAAACAACGGCACCCCCCTCTACAGCAAAAAGTACTTAATGTTACATGGTGTGTCATATCTCATTTTAAAGACAATTTAATTCTGGTGTTATCTGAGAAATTTCAGCTTTATATCATATAATTTTACAGATTTAGAGCTGATTCTTAGTAGTTGGTATGACCACTAGTTGCTGCTTAAACAGCAGCTTATCTGGACGAATATGATTTCAATAAAAATTCGCATAAAGGTGTAGCATTGCATAATCCTCTTCGCACTTTCCTCACATTCTTCAGGAATACATCCTTACTGTCTCTTTTTTCAAGAGGCTCTTTGCCCATCAGTTCCTATACCCTGTTTTTTAGAAATGAACCCATATGGTCAGTGCAGTTGAAATCTGGGGTAATTCTTTCATATTTCACTTTCTGACGATTTGACTTTTAACCAGTAACAGAGCAGCAAACAAAGTACCGAAGTAGCAAACTTTGAAACAATGTAGCTTTTTTAATATTAAGTTTTATTAAATGACATTTGATGTGTAACTCCAGAATTAAATTATCTTTCAAATGAGGTATGACATGATATGGAACATTAAGGACTTTTTGCTGTAGAGGGGGGTGCCGTTGTTTTTTGACACCCTGTAGTGTAGAAGAAACTTTTGATATATTTAAATTAAGAAACACAAGATCCTCTTTTTAGAAAATAAGCCTTCCATTTTTAAAAAAGTGACGAGGTGGGGTCCTAATCCATAATTTTTCAAAGAGTTGGATTGATATTTTACTATCATGGGGACTTCACTTTAAAGAAAACATATTGTTTTAATAAAAAACCACTGTATTTATATCCAGAAAGTACTCATGGTGAAAGACATGACTGTCTAAAATCACTAAAATCACCATGCACATGGACCTTTAGTAAATGGATAAAATAATTATTACAATATTCTGCGTGAAGTTGATGAAGACAAGTTACACGAATTTGGGAGAAGTTGAACGTAAACGTGTAATATCATATAACCCTCAGAAACTTTTGTCAATCTCTCAAGTGAGGATCGTAGTACAATTAGTTTTCTTCATACCTTCATCTTCAATCGGACAAAATAAAATAAAAGGCCAGTGAGATGAAGATAGTAGATAGGAGACCATGATTTACACGTTTAACGTACACTTTAAGCCTCAGTCACACTAGGGAGGCTAAAATACACGTTATTCAAATTTGTACATGGATGTGTAAAATTATTGTCTTTTGTGGATTAGTTTTCTCATTTGTACTGCTTACTTGACCAATTGAGTATAAAAGTATACGGAAAATGATTATATGCTCACGTACAGCAGGTTAATTTAAACACTCTATTTGCTATACGGCGATCGTAGCTTCATAAAATCTATATATAAAATCTACATCGTACTGCTTATCCCTATATTCTATGCTGCATATTTCTCTCGATTTTGGGAAGCTATGGCCGCCCTGCCATCAGAGTGTTCGGATCAACATGGGGCACCTTAATCCCAAAGCTGAGGTCCAAATGAAAAGAAAAACAATTCACTAATTGAAACTGAAACTAAAAAAATATCATATTAAGATATCTATAATATTGAACAATGTCGCCAATAAAGCTGACACTCTTCTCACAAATTATCGTATCTTAACTAAAAATTAAAAAATACTGCCTACCAATCTTAAAAACATGATTAACTTGACTTATTTCAGAGACAATGTTGGCCTACTTCAATACTTGTCACGACACCAAATCGTTTCGTGAAAACTACACACTATTCCGAAACGATGCATTTTCGGGTACGTCAATAGTTGTCTGAAACCATGTGGCAAATGCATTCATTTCCAGATGTGACAAAATGGCAATCCCAAGACAAATCTGAATCATGTAGAGATAATAATGTGTCGTTAGTGTAAGAAGATATCGTGTAGTTGGAAAAATGCCGACATCACCTCGACTATTATATAGAGTTGGACTTTGTCCATTTTAGGGGATGGGGGTTTAAGGATTTAAGTTGGATCTTAGCCCAGATAAGAGATTATTCACTTTTTATGCATATTTTTTTATTATTTTGCAGGGATAAAACACGAGACAATTAAATATTTTGTTTTAATTCTACTTTCAAAATAACTTCTAGATCTTAACATTAATTCATTCCAATTTAGCTATATGTTAATTAGCGTTTTGTATAATACATTTTGTATAATTGACGTAGGTTAAAGTTGCATGCAGATGTTTTACAGTAAATCACGGTGCATTATGGGGCGGAAAATTTTAGCAAGCAAACGACAAAAGCAATCGCCAATCAGTAGTCAGATTACGGCCAATGTTAACAAGGAGATGAGATTAAACATGATAAATATTTCGTTGGATGATCGAATTGGGGTGTCAGTGTCAGTATCGTAAAAAGCAACAACCAGCTAAGGCCGTTTCGATTTTATCAACAAAACTATAGGGTAAGTACACTCAGGTTTAATTCATTACCTTATATACGTCCGTAAAACCGTATATCATATCAAACAAATTATTTGTGTATTGTAACTTTTCATTTACAAAATGGATGTAGTCATTTTTAGCTTTCAGTTAAGTGTTCAAGAAATGTAGACGCGCCATACTAATAAGTTTGGTGACAGGGATTTAATTCTTGAATTATATTCATAAATACTCTCATATCTCGTTCGAATCCCCCATTCTATCCTCCCTTCAAGCAACCCACTTGTAAGTGGCTTTACCCTTCGTGCGAAGTTTAGTTATAAATCTGAAGACGAAGCTCTCTTTTTGAGAAGCAAAGTTGAACGAATGCAAAGGGTAAATTAATTTCAACATACAATTTAATTTTACGATGATTTTTAACATTCGAGAGTAAAGTTCTTGTTTTTGCCAGAAAAAAGTAAATAGGTAGAAAATTCATATTTCTTGATATGATTCGGGCTGGTTAGTAATGAGGTATAAATTGTAATCTTGCCCGTATCTTTCACCAAGGATTAGGTTTTGCTAAGGGGAGCTTTTTGACAGTTTTTGGCTTCAAAAACGTGCGAATAGTGCTCAGAATGGTGAAAAACTGCATAATTGTGAAAGAATTTCTAGCCAAGGGCATCTAAAGCCCCCCCCCCCCTCTGGCTACGAGACTGATTATTACAATGTTTAATATGTGTTTTAGAATGAGCATGACAACTACGGAACGCAAGGCCGTGATCAAGAATGCAGACATGGCCGAAGATATGCAGCAAGATGCTGTAGACAGCGCTACGAAGGCCATGGAAAAATTCAACATCGAGAAGGACATCGCGGCATTCGTCAAAAAAGAGTTTGACAAAAAATTCAACCCAACATGGCATTGTATCGTCGGGCGCAACTTCGGGAGTTATGTCACCCACGAGACAAAGCATTTCATCTACTTCTATCTTGGACAGGTTGCCATTCTCCTATTCAAATCTGGATAAATGACTGAATGAATGACTGCTTTTAAAATTCAAAAATCAACAGCAATCGGTGAATAATAAAACATCGCACAATGAATATCCATAATACCATAGGGTCGTCGATCCAGAAAAACTATTTTAAACAAAAATACATAAAGTACAAACCTAAAATACGCAAAGAAACAGTGCGATACAGATCATCCAACGTTGAACTTTTCCTACGGACCATGAACAAAAAAAACCACATGCATGTACCACTTCATGTAATCGTATGGTTTTCCATTTAGCTTGTTATAGATGTATATATTTAGTTGTAAAAATAGATAAACTGGTAGTATTTATATAGTTGTTGCTGAAATAAAAAGTGTATATATTTACATTTTGCAATAAAAGATAGATTTCATTAATAGTGAAATATTTGTTTTCGTCATTAAAATCTTGCAAATCATTTGAAATCTTAATAAGCTTGCAACCACTTGGTTTATTGAAAAGATCATTAAAATTGGCATTTTATGAATTTGTAATGGTGTTTCACTTGTTTAAAATCCCTAGGAGAAAGTGTCGACATTGAGAGGTAATCGGATTAGAGAGGTGTTCTGAAATTTGGATCCCTGGAATTTCGTGATAGTTCAAATGAAGCCGTTGCTTGCAGAATTTATCGCGGAATTCGGGATTTCGTGTAGAATTTGGTGCAAAATTAGATTTTTCATGCAGAATTTCTGCGCAGAATGTACATTTTCTCATGCAGAAAGTACATCAGCCACTTTTGTTCTCGGTACCGTTCGGAATGAAATGAAACATCTATCCCAACCCTCATTGGAACACAAACGACATATAGAATGATAACACAACGTGTTTAGGTCTCTCAATATTGTAATTGTACAAAGGAAAGTTTGGTTCATCTAAATCTTGTTAATGACATAAAAGGTTTACTTTATTTTTTATCTATTTTTTTAGGGGGGGGGGTGTTTCAATTTTGTATGGATACGTTTTGTTAAATGAACCAAACTTACCTTTGTATAGTTATAATATCGAGAGGTCTAAAAAAATGTTGTATATGCTATTTTGTTCCAAAAAGGTTCGGAAAGATATTTTATTTCATTCTCAAGACTTGGTTGAAAGGAACAAAAAACAATTGCACTAAAAAAACAAAAAAATTATTTAAAAACAGTTATATAAAATATACATAAATAATTTTCGCATTCAATTGTTATCAATCAGTGACCATTACATAAAGGACTGTGTTTTTACAGAATGTTTTCAATATTTGGTTTAAGAGAAAAACAATGTTGAGTTCAGTTCGCCATTTCGATACCAATCCTTTTAAATCTTTTACATGTCCATGTCATAACTTTAGTGCTCAAATATTCAAAAATGCGAAGGCAATATTACATTATGTTACATAAATAGAAATGCTTCAAACAATTATTTACAAAAAAATATCTATACTAGTACACTTATTTTTTCCAAAAAGCATAGGTTGTTATTAAATATTGTACAATTTGTATGTCAGAAAATAATTAGGTATCTCACGTATACTACACAATTGAGCGTTTAAGCAATGCACATAAAATTGCACGGGAAACCTGTACGTATAAATCGCCCTATACAAATGCATGTAGTTTTCTCACATAAAACAATCGTTCGGCACAGTGTTTACTTAGTCCGTTACTTAGACTACACATCATCGTGTACTATGCCATGTGTACTATGCCATTGATAGTTATTCAGCTGGTTTTCTATGCTACATATTTTAAACATGCTCGTTTCGTAAGATATTTGAAGCTAAAGCATGTATGACATACATCATTTTCTTCAGAAAGCATTATACTATGCATCGAAATCAAAATTGCCAGCATAGTATTCAAAAGACATGAGTATAATGATTCCCGTTGCCACCAACCTGAAATTGCAAATATTTCGTTCTAAACACAGATCTGAAACTGATCGGGTATCTGAAGTAGACTAAGTAGCGCTTGTTTTGTATGCGCGCTATATACATTACAGTATTAATTCGGAGGCTTTGCGTTCACGGTTACGTTGTGAAAAATATCGCTAGCTTAAACTCTCAATTTTCTGAAAACTGCTTTCTGACACAGATAGAGCCATAGCTTTTGGGCGGATATAAAGATGGCAGCAGAGGTAGACTCCTATCAACATTTATCTCTAGAGTTTGATTGGTCTGCCCTCTTTATTTAAAAATTGTTTCTATCGCCCTTTAGCCTATGGATAGATCAGAAATAGAAAATCGTGGTCAATAAAGTATTTCCAGCAACAATCAATGGATTCAGAAAGATATCGTTGTTTAATAGATTGACGGATTATTTGTTTGTTTCAGGAATTAGCACGCTTCTTGTATTTGTGTACGAACAGTCTTCGTATCCTACGCTTCCGTCCTATTATCCGTTTAATTTCATTCCCTACGCCTGGCGTCCCAAACAGTTTCATGCTCATATCCTTATTACCATGAGGACGCTTCGCACGTATTAAAATGATGTCCTCGCCAAAGTCGTGCAATTTTAACATCTGGAATAAAATAGTTAATCAGAAGTTAAGACTCTAGATCTATATTTTTCTTATTTCAAAAATAGATAGAACCGTAGATTACATAGATAGCTGCCTTCGATTATATGACAAACAATTAAGATTTCACGTTATTTTTCAAGGCAAAACTGAAATACATAGATGCAGTTGACTTGGGTCATAGTATTTATTCTTTATTTGTCATAAGTCACCTTAATGTTTTGCTTGTTTTCTGAAATATTCCCTGAATCGTAAAGGGAGGTGACATTAATATACATTTATAATATATATTATTTAACTTTGAATGGTCTTGGGGTTAATGGACGAATTCACATATATTAATGGAAGGATACGTTAAACCCCAGTGTTCAACTTACATACCAAGTTAAGAATATTTGAGAAAATACTAAAAGTAGTATTTTGTCTATTATTCAGCATCATATGGTGGCTTTTCTTCCCATGGTGCAATTTCTTCCCGTGGTGCATATCCGTATCGTTGTGTTTTTTCCTTCTGTGGTGTATTTTCGTTTCACAAGTTTTACATACGATTATAGGCTTCCCCGGTTTCCGCAACAAAGACCTGGATGACTGTTAACAAAATACAAATAAAATTGCAAATACCACGCTGATTGACAGTTCACATTTCGAATTGTGTATTGTTTTATAACTAAAAATTACGTTCTGAGAACATGTAAGCTTTTCGTGTATTTTCCCATTTCTATGATACTCATGTAAGGAGTGGGTCAAAGAGCGTTCATATTGACTTTATAATAATGCATTTATTCACGGGGTACCATCGAATAATTTTGGCAACGTACCGGAGAACGACATTTTACTAAGAAATGGCAATAATTTAGCACAATATATTTTTTAACTAGAGTTCTACTTTGATTTTGACAAAAGTAAGTATTCCATGCAATGGCTATTTCATTCATGAGTTTGTAGGAATTCTGTTGGAACCCAGTTCTGATCAAGTACGAAGTTATTGAAATCGGCGCAGTCGGACTTCACTCCGAAAGATGGTTTTTCGATTATAACTTTTTACAACATTTAAGTATAGACTTTTGAAAAAAGTACAGAATAGTCCTTATACTATTGAATAATTCTGTTATTTCTGATTCACACGACTCTGATTTGTTTAATTAAAAAAAGTTTTAAAAATATTACTTAGGAACGTAACCGGAGCTGGGAACGTAACCGGAGCAGATCAGTTGAATTATATAATTTAAAAAATAAAATATTTGATTTAAAGCATGTATATTAATAAATACGCATTCGAACAATCCCGTATGTTTTTAAATTAGTATATGTGCTTTAAATCATATATTTTAATTTTTTTGATTAAATAATTCAACTGATCTGCTCCGGTTACGTTCCCAGCTCCGGTTACGTTCCTAAGTAATATTTTTAAAACTTTTTTTTTAATTGAACAAATCAGAGTCGTGTGAATCAGAAATAACAGAATTATTCAAAAGTATAAGGACTATTCTGTACTTTTTTCAAAAGTCTATACTTAAATGTTGTGAAAAGTTATAATCGAAAAACCATCTTTCGGAGTAAAGTCCGTCTGCGCCGATTTCAATAACTTCGTACTTGATCAGAACTGGGTTCCAACAGAATTCCTACAAACTCATGAATGAAATAGTTATTGCATGGAATACTTACTTTTGTCAAAATCAAAATTGAACTCTAGTTAAAAAATATATTGTGCTAAATTATTGCCATTTCTTAGTAAAATGTCGTTCTCCGGTACGTTGCCAAAATTATTCGATGGTACCCCGTGTTATTTTAGAAATGTTTTTGATGGATATGCCGGAACCACACATTGTTCTAACAGACAAAGGGGATAAATGAAAATATACTGTTTTCGGGATAGTGTTCGATGCAACAAAGGATGATTCTCGGTTTGGAGAACAGTCTCCTGGGCTAATATTATTTTCATGAAAAATATAGAAATATAACCCAAATTAAACTATGAATATTCAAAAAAGGACATTTAAATCTCCAAGATGTAAAAATAACAAATTGGTCTGAAGCAGGGATAATGCTCAAATAGACCGATTCAATATAAATACAAGTCTCGATTTGGGCAAAGAAGTTCATCAGTGTACTGCGCTAATATTTTTTTGCGAAAAATCTAGAAATATTACCCAAATTAAATTATGACTATTCAAAAGAAGACATTCAAATCTTTATTATGTAAAAAAATAATATGTCCGAAGCAGGGATGATGCTCATTTAAATTGATGAACTTCGTTCTCCAAACCGAGAATCGTCCTTTGACTGATATTAGTAATGCATGCATCAAATAATTGTACCAAATAAGCTTAGTGTGTCCAATACATGTTCTGGCATTATTTCCAGACAAAAGGGAATAAAAGAAGTAGGATGAGACTACTAGTACTAGTAATGAGAGTACTAAGAAAGAGGCCGGTGAAAAATTCAATGGTCTATCTTTACTTACTGATTTATCTAGTTCAAGCATTGTTCTATCTTTGTCTTTAGCTTTGTATGTGCTGTGCCTGTGGTTTTCTTGTGATTTTTTTCCCTTGGGTATGGGTTCTTGTGATTTATATGTTCTAGACATTGTTCTATTCTTATTATTTGATCCATATATTTCAGAAGATGGAATACCCTCATTTTCTGATTTGTCTTTCGAAGGCACTGCTTCATATTTATCTTGCGATTCATCTGTTTTGAGGGTTGATTTATCTATTTTAGGTGTTGCTTTATATTTATATTTTGTATCGTTTCTTTCGGACATAGTTATTTTTTTGTTATATTGTAATTCATCTATTTTAGGCGCTGTTTTATCTTCATTTTGTGATTCATCTCTTTCAGGCGTTGCTTTATTCTTGCCGTGTGTTTCATCTTGTTTAAGATTTGATTTGTCTCCATATCTTGATTCGTCTATTTTAGGTAACAATCTTCTTCTTTCATGTGATTCATCTATTTTAGGCGTCATTGTATATTTATATTGTGATTCATCTATTTTAGGCGTCGTTGGGTATTTATATTGTGATTTATCTAGTTTAGGCGTCATTGTATATTTATATTGTGATTCATCTATTTCAGACTTCGCTCTATCTTTGTCGTGTGTTTTAAGCTTTCCTTTACCTTCATACTTTGATTCATCTATTTTAGGTAACACTCTACTTCTTTCTTGTGATTCATCCAGTTTAGGCGTCGTTGTGTATTTATATTGCGATTGATCTATTTTGGGCTTCGTTGTGTATTTATATTGTGATTCATCTAGTTTAGGCGTCGTTGTGTATCTATATTGTGATTCATCTATTTTAGGCGTCGTTGTGAATAATGATTCATCTATTTTGGGCGTCGTTGTGTATTTATATTGTAATTCATCTAGTTTAGGCGTCGTTGTGTATTTATATTGTGATTCATCTATTTCAGGCGTCGTTGTGTATTTATATTGTGGTTCATCTATTTTAGGCGTCGTTTTGTATTTATATTGCGGTTCGTCTATTTTAAGCGTCGTAGTGTATTTATATTGCGCTTCGTCTATTTCAGGTATCGTTGTGTATTTATATTGCGGTTTATCTATTTCAGGCGTCGTTGTGTATTTATATTGTAATTCATCAATTTCAGGCGTTGTTTTGGCTTTGTCTAGGATTTTATTCATTCTAGGCTCTGTTCTCTTTTCATATTGTGATTCTTCTCTCGTGTGAGTTGCTTTTTCAGTCCAATATTCGTGCTTGGAAATATCTAAAAAAAATGGAGATTCATTACAGGAACATAATAATTTACATGCTACTCTGTAATACATTGGTGACATGATTTTTATCTATGTCCAAGAATAATAATATCTACACGAAAAGGCATTGCAGGGAAATGGAGATATCAATGATTAAATCATAGGATATTCTCTTTATTCCATAGAAAAAATGGTTTTCAGGTTATTCACCTCTATTTATTTTGTTTTTCTTTCAACTTCAAATAATATTTCAAAGTTCCTCAGAATCATCACATTTGGAATGTGTAACTCATATTCCCAAAACACCCAGTTGTTGAAACTATCAGCTTCGTTCTGAGTCAAACAGCAAAAATCTGTATTAAATGGTTTAAAGCTATATTCCATGGTTTGTAAATTTTGGAAGCTACGGTTGCCGTAGATCAAATGTGACCGAGGCATTACATAGTGGTCACAAGTGGACACAATACATTTTCACTTACTATACTGGCATATGTAACCGTTCATCTGGTTACAGCTATCTCCGACTTCGTATTGCACAATTTGCTTTTTAGGATCAACATGATCCTTGTCCAAGTTGACAAAGTAGCACGCCTTCGGTTGTGACGCTTTACCAACTGAAATAACATGTTAGCAAAATACTTTTTGGTGGACGGAATTTATCCTTTTTATGTTATCACCACAAGTCGTGACATATTGTTATTGTCTCCAACTTTTTGTGAACGGTGTTTGGTCTCCGTAGTGGCACTTCTGCTTAAATGTTGTCCAATTGATATATGCAAAATCAAAATAGCTATAACAAAATTGAGCAATTAAATAGCAATGCTACATTTTCCAACTCACCCCCAATCCAATATATGTTCCCGTCCTCTCCTGGATCACCGATCCAGTTGATCGTTTGGACAATGTGATCTATAATCCGATTATAGATACGGTTGTTATCAAGAGTAGCGAGTTCCCATCCGTCTCTTGAACATCTTGCGTTGGCCTGACTGTAAGTATAGTCTTTTTTACCATTTAATTTGTAGCATGTGTTTCCAAGAGCATATATCTCGGTGGTCCGTATCCCCCGTGGGCTGCTGCACAGTGTATGGTCTATATCTATATGAAAGAGGTGTAGTATGTAAATTTAGAATCGCAAAAGGTATCCGTAGTACTTGTAATAAATATAATTTACTATGCTGTGTCGCTCAAGTTTGTAAACATAAGCTGTTTTGTACCTTTCTCGGCGTTACCAATTAACATAATTCACACAATACTATATATTTCTTATGTTCTCTAAAATGTGAAATATATTTTGTTGTAATTAGAAATTAGAATTGGAAAAGCTTACTGCACATTGGGATTGAATCTGGCTCCAAATGATTCCATCTATATGCATAATCAGTTTGCATGCTGCATGTTCTTGTTGTTTCCCCATGCAGTACATAGTTGTCGTGGCAGTAATACGTTGCTATGGTACCTATAGTTTGCGCACTATCTGACACACTGACATAACCATTCAAAGGTGGTGGAAGAGGATCACATTGTCCTGTAAATGACAATCATTACAGTGACATAATTCTAAATGACATAATTGAAAACGAGCCTTTTGAATCGTTTGAAAGCAACCATAGATTAGGATTACCATTGCTCATGAGATTTAATACATTTTTAAGTAAATATAATGTGCAGGGTAGGCTAAAAAAAGTATTTATATTTTTTATTACTAAATAAATGTCCTAAATATCAACTTGCTATTTTGTAAAAATTGGCAATACAAAAATGAGCATTTTCATACTTGGAATGGCTCCATGGGTGAGATATTACAATACGAACCTGGAATACATTTGAATCGAATCGTATTACAGGGTAGATTCACACAGCAGAACTTTGACTGTCGTAGATGCCTCGCCCTGGACCAATTTTTGGAAATCTTCCACTTACAATATCTCTTCCCAGAACATCTCGCTTTGACCTCTTCGGATAGGTTCTTTGTACACGTAGCTTTATTGTTGTTTACACATTCTAGTGTGCTGTCAGTTGGCAGAGGTTGAGCTACAGCATTGATGACCTCGATGCCACCCCCACTGTTACATATCAGGTCAATATGCCCGTGTATATGGTGGCAGGTAGACACCTCTTCTTCAGGCCATTCAAGAGCTAAATGAACATTTAAATCGGCAAAGAACTACACAACAGAACTTTTACAATATTGAACAAATATTTCACTCTATTAAGGTGAATACCTGTACATCTTTCACAAGTGATATTCCACGAAGCCCGAAGGGCAAGTGGAATATCACCTTGTGAAAGTGCTACAGGTATTCACCGAAAATAGAGTGAAATATTTGTTTTATTATATCACTGTCTAGCTAAACATCCCAAATATTATAAAGTCCTAGGTTAGCATTGAAATACATACGAATCTACTCGGTTCGTCTGCCATTTTGACTTGCACCGAACTAAATTATTTACACTGAACGAAAACAAATTCTTTGAAAATTCCCGGGAGCGTGGGATATCGCTAGATATCTCACGGTTGTCTTATCTGATTAGCATTGCCATTGAATATCGCCAGATATCCCAAGACACGTGACCCGGTTTTGACCAATCATACTGTCGCTAGCTAGATAGTGATATAACTAGAGATCGAACGATCTAAGATTGCAAGCAATCTTACGGAGGCCCTATATTCGTTTCTGAACATTCAAAGGCCAGCCAAAGGTCAAATCTCTAATACAAGGTCATATATGAACTCCAGACAACTTGTAGATGGTTTTTAAAAAAGGTTTGGTCGAATTAATGCAAGTTGAAATTTGACCTTGAAAAATTCCGAAATTTGACCTTTTTTCAGTTTTTGAGCTATAATATCTCAAAACTGGAGCCAAATTTTAATAGATAATCAATTGCTAATATGTGTAGAACCTTTAGTAGAGGAATACATAATCTGACTTTCATTTCAAAATATTGATTTGTAGTCTCCAATTTTGAGAAACTTAGAAAACACAGTTTGTGATTTCGTTTGATGACCTTGACCTTTGAACTTGCAAATTTTACTTTTTTAGACCTCAGAAGGTCTTTTGTGAATAAATATACCTAAATTTGAATCCAGAAAATCGATTTGAAAAATCAACTTTTTTGACCTTTCGGAGGTCACTGAAGGTCAACCAAAGGTCAAAGTTCAAAAGTAAGGTTAGATTTGGAATCCTGAGAACTTGTAGATGGGTTTTAAAAAAAAATTGGTCAATTTGAAGCAAGTTGAAATTTAGTCTTGAAAAGTTTCGAAATTTGACCTTTTTTCAGTTTTTGAGTTCCAATATCTCAAAACTGGTACACAATTTTAATAAATAGTCAATTGCTAATATGTGTAGAACCTATAGAGGAATATATATCCTGACTTTCATGAAAAAATATTGATTTGTAGTCTCCAATTTTGAGAAACTTAGAAAACACAGTTTGTGATTTAATTTGATGACCTTGACCTTTGACCTTGCAAATTTTACTTTTTTGGACCTCTTTTGTGATTAAATACACCTGAATTTGAATCCAGAAAATCGATTTGAAAAATCAACTTTTTGACCTTTCGGAGGTCACTAAAGGTCAACTAAAGGTCAACAAAAGGTCATAAGTAAGGTAAGATTTGGAATCCTAAGAACTTGTAGATGAGTTTTAAAAAAAGTTTGGTCAATTTAGATCAAGTTGAAATTTGACCTTGAAAATTTTCGAAATTTTGACCTTTTTCAGTTTTTGAGCTCTTATATCTCAAAACTGGTGCAAAATTTTAATAGATAATCAAATGCTAATATGTGAAGAAAAAGTGGAGGAATATATATTTAGACTTTCATTAAACTATATTGATTTGTAGTAACGAATTTTGAGAAACTTGGAAAACACAGTTTGTGATTTAATTCAATGACCTTGACCCTTGACCTTGCAAAATTTACTTTTTTGGACCTCTTCGAGTCTTTTGTGATTAAATGCACTTAAATTTGAATCCAGAAAATCGATTTGAAAAATCAACTTTTTTGACCTTTCGGAGGTCACTGAAGGTCAACAAAAGGCCAAGGGTCAAAAGTACGGTAAGATTTGGAATCCTGAGAACTTGTAGATGAGTTTTAAAAAAAAGTTTGGTCAATTTAGATCAAGTTGAAATTTGACCTTGAAAATTTTCGAAATTTGACCTTTTTCAGTTTTTGAGCTCTAATATCTTAAAACTGGTGCAAAATTTTAAAAGATAATCAATTGCTAATATGTGTAGAACCTTTAGAGGAATATATATTCAGACTTTCATAAAAAAATATTGATTTGTAGTCACCAATTTTGAGAAACTTGAAAAACTCAGTTTGTGATTTAATTCAATGACCTTGACCTTTGACCTTGCAAATTTTACTTTTTGGATCCTTGGGGTGGTTTGTGATTAAATGCACCTAAATTTGAATCCAGAAAATTGATTTGAAAAATCAACTTTTTTGACCTTTCGGAGGTCACTGAAGGTCAACAAAAGGTCAAAGGTCAAAAGTAAGGTAAGATTTGGAATCCTGAGAATTTGTATATGAGTTTTAAAAAAAAGTTTGGTGAATTTAGATCAAGTTAAAATTTGACCTTGAAAATTTTCGAAATTCGACCTTTTTCAGTTTTTGAGCTCTGATATCTCAAAACTGGTGCAAAATTTTAATAGATAATCGATTGCTAATATGTGTAGAACCTTTAGATGAATATATATTCAGTCTTTCATGGAAAAATATTGATTTGTAGTCACAAACTTTGAGAAACTTAGAAAACACAGTTTGTGATCTTGTTTGATGACCTTGAACTTTGACCTTGAAAATTTTACTTTTTTAGGCCTCAGTATATCTTTTCTGATTGAATTAACCTAAATTTGTATCCAGAAAATCAATTTGAAAAATCAACTTTTTTTGACATTTCGAAGGTCACTGATGGTCAACTTAAGGTCATAGGTCAAAACTCAGGTCAGATTTGAGTTCCTGAGATCTTGTAGATGCTTTTTAAAAAAAAGTTTGGTCAATTTAGAGCAAGTTGAAATTTGACCTTGAAAAATTTCGAAATTTGACCTTTTTTCAGTTTTTGAGTTCTAATATCTCAAAACTGGAGCAAAATTTTTATAAATAGTCAATTGCTAATATGTGTAGAACCTTTAGAGGAATATATATTCTGACTTTCAGTAAAAAAAATTGATTTGTAGTCTCCAATTTTGAGAAACTTAGAAAACACAGTTTGTGATTTCGTTTGATGACCTTGACCTTTGACCTTGCAAATTTTACTTTCTTAGACCTCAGAAGGTCTTTTGTGAATAAATATACCTAAATTTGAATCCAGAAATTTGATTTGAAAAATCAACTTTTTTGACCTTTCGGAGGTCACTGAAGGTCAACCAAAGGTCAAAGGCCAAAAGTAAGGTCAGATTTGGAATCCTGAGAACTTGTGGATGAGTTTTAAAAAAAAATTTGGTCAATTTGAAGCAAGTTGAAAAAAGACCTTTTTTGACCTTTTTTTGACCTTCAATATCTCAAAATATAGGCAAAATTTCCCTAGACGGCAAAAGGCTTAGACTAATAGAATACTAATATCTATCTGTATGCAAAAATTCAGCCAAAAATATTGAAGTGTAGTGTCAGGATTTGAGAAACTTGAAAAAAACTTAGATTTGACCTAGATTTTGACCTTTGACCTTGACCTAGATATGAACTAATTTCCCGACAAGTCCAGCCGAGGTCCCTAATAAGATTATATATGAGATAAGTCAAAGCTAGCTGGAAGTTGGAGAAAAAATGCTAAAAAGAATAACTAGATTTTGGAAATTGAACGAGTTCAATTTCAGACTCCAGATCTAGACTTTTTTTAGCCGAGTCATCCAGAATAAGCCAAGTCATCCAAAATAAGCTAAGTCATCCAGCAAAAGATGGATGGATGAAAAAGGAAGGAAGGATAGGATAGAATAGGAAGGAACGATAGGATAGACTAGGAAAGAAGGATAGAATAGAATAGGAAGAAGGGATAGAATAGGAAGGATAGGAAGGAGAGGATACGAAGCAAGGGTAGATAGGAAGGATAGGATAGGATCAGAAAGGAAGGATGGATGCATTTTTCAATATTTTCTTCTCTACTCTTGACTTTCTATCAGGATACCATCAGATCAATTTTTCTTGAAATTTCAAAACGCCATAACTTCCCAACCGGAAGTCGGATCGAAATTTGATTTGCAGATTCGGATTCCTGACAAAATTCTACCCCTAATTCATAACTCATACGTTAAATTTGGCGAATTTTTATTTTGACCTACTTTTCGGACACGCCATTACTTCGGAACCGGAAGTCGAATCGAAATTTGGTTTGCAGATTCGGATTCCTGAGAAAATTCTATACTTAATTCATAACTCAAACGTCAAATTTTGAGAATTTTTTATTTTGACCTACTTTTCGGACACCATATCTCAAAAGTGGGGCAAAATACTTTCTGACGGCAAAAGGCTAACACTATTAGCACACTCTTGGCTACATGTATACAAAATTTTGAAAAGTATAATTAATCTGTAGTGTCAGAATCGCAAAAATAAGGAAAAACTTTGAATTTGACCTAGATTTTGACCTAGGCATTTTGGTGTCCAAATTTTAAAGCTAGATGGCTTTTGAGATCCCATTCTTTTAAAAGCTTTCATTATATTTAGCTGAACTCAGTCTATATTTCGTATTTTTCACTTCAATAAAATCTTTTTTCCCATTGACTTAACATGGGCTCCAAATTTAGCGATTTTTGAGCTTTCAAAACGCCATAACTTCAGAACCGGAAGTCTGATCCAAATTTTGTTTTCAGATTTGGAATCCTGAGAAGATTTCCTATAAGACTAATATCCTGGACATTTGATTCGGAGAACTTTTGTTTGGACCTTGTTTTCGGACACTGATATCTCGAAATCGGTTTGAGATATCAAAAAACTAAATCGACCCTAGCTTTCCTACTTTTTTATAAGGAACACAATGAAAAAAACCCGGATCGAAAATATTGAAGGACGACCGAGAAAATCGAAAAAAGTGACAAAGTACTGGATTTGACCTAGTTCTCGACCTTTGACCTAGATAAAAATTTGACCCAATTTCCGAGGAACTAGATTCTGGACCTAAATTGACCAAATGACTGACTTTACTGAAAACCTTACGGTTATTGAGAAAACTTGCTCGGAATAATAACTAGACATGTAAATTGAACAAGTTCAATTTAAGACTCCAGATTTCACATTTTTTTTAAGCTGAGTCATCCAGAACTTGTAAGCTGAGTCATTCAGAATAAGCTGAGTCAGCTAGAATATAGACATTTAGACAACTTTTAAGAAGGCTATCTTCGACTCTATTAGCTTAACATGGGGATATCATCATATCGACTTTTCGAGACTTCAAACCGCTATAACTATCTAACCAGAAGTTAGATCGAAATTTGGTTTAAAGATTCTGATTCCTGAGAAAATTCTACCCTTAATTCATAACTCATACGTTAAATTTGGATAATTTTTTATTTTGACCTACATTTCGGACACCATATCTCAAAAGTGGGTCAAAAAACTTTTTGACGGCAGAAGGCTAACACTATAAGCACACTCTTTGCTACCTGTATACAAAATTTTGAAGCAAATCCTTAAAGTGTAATGTCAGAATCGCAAAAATAAGGAAAAACTATGAATTTGACCTAGATTTTGACCAAGGCATTTTTGCGTCCAAATTTTAAAGCTAGATAGCCTTCGAGGTCCCCTCCTTTTATAGGCTTTCAGAATATTAAGCTGTACTCAGTCTTTATCTGGTATTTTACACTTCAAAAAATCCTTTTTCTCATTGACATAACATGGGGCACCAAATTTAGCGAATTTTGAGCTTTCAAAACCCCATAACTTTCGAACCGGAAGTCGGATCGTAATTTGGTTTGCAGATTTGGATTCCTGACGAAATTCTACCCCTAATTCATAAATCATACGTTAAATTTGGAATTTTTTTATTTTGACCTACTTTTTGGACACGCCATAACTTCCGAACCGGTAGTCGGATCGAAATTTGGTTTGCAGATTCGGATTCCTGAGAAGATTCTACCCTTAATTCATAACTCATACGTTGAATCTGGAGAACTTTTTATTTTGACCTACTTTTCGGACACCATATCTCAAAAGTGGGTCAAAATACTTTCTGACGGCAAAAGGCTAACACTATTAGCACACTCTTTGCTACCTGTTTACAAAATTTTGAAGCAAATTATTAAAGTGTAGTGTCAGAATCGTAAAAATGAGGAAAAACTATGAATTTGACCTAGATTTTGACCTAGGCATTTTGGTGTCCAAATTTTGAAGCTATGTAGCTTTTGAGGTCCCCTTCTTTTCTAGGCATTCATTATGTTAAGCTGTACTCAGTCTATATCTTGTATTTTACACTTCGAAAAAGTCTTTTTTCCCATTGGCTTAACATGGGCACCAAATTTAGCGATTTTTGAGATTTCAAAACGCAATAACTTCCGAACCGGAAGTCGGATCGAAATTTTGTTTGCAGATTCGGATTCCTGAGATAATTCTACACTTATATGATGATTCACACGTTGAATTTGGAGAACTTTTTATGTTCTGACCTACTTTTCGGACACCATATCTCAAAATCGGTAAGAGTAATCAAAAAACGGTTTACCATTCGTAATAAGCTTTTTCTAAGGAACATGATGAAAAAAAACCGGAGTGAAAATACCGAAGGACGACTGAGAAAACTTGTAAAATAGTGAAAAACCACGATTTGACCTAGTTCTTGACCTTTGACCTAGATAAAAAGTTGACCTAATTTCCCAGAAACTAGGCCTCATTACATAGTTGACTGTGTTAGCAGATTTAAGTAAGTCCTTCTAGTTACCGAGAAAACGTGACAAGAGAGAAAGAATAATAATAATAATAAGAAAACCGGCAAAAGCAATAGACTCCAGATTTTCAATCTGGAGTCTAATAATAAGAAGAAGAAGAAGAAAAAGAATAATAAGAAAACTGACGAAAACAATAGACTCCAGATTTCATCTGGAGTCTAATAAATAAATAAATAAATAAATAAATAAATAAAGAAGAATAACTACAAAAATGATAGGAGGCCCCTTGAAGGGCCTCCTAATAATACAATTTATTACATACTGTATTCAAAAACACACAAATAACCTACAAATAAACATGTTTGCGTATATCCAGTATGTTTAAAATATGTATGAAATAAATTGCACCCTTTACCTACAGTATGTGTCTTCAAAATAACTTGATATTGTTTTTACATAAAATAAGACAACATCAATGTTTGATGACTTTGAATTGACGTAATTAGCAATGGTGAAATTACGGCGAAAGAGAAGACTATTTATAATCAACTAAACCTACTTATCACACAATGAAAACAGTGTCATTAGGAAGACTACTTAGAACTATACATTGAACACATTGATGATATCATTAAAGGAGACTTCTTACTGCGATCGCAATTTTGAAAATTTGTTGAAAAAACATTAACAAATTATAGTCAAAGATGCTAAGAATGCACCATATACGATGTAACTATGAAAAAAGTCTAGAGGTGAACCCCCGTACCCTTTTTGGGTCACTCTTCACTCGAATACAACACCCAAAAATTCGCACCCCCCCCCCCCCCTCTTAACATTTGCTGGCTACGGTGTGCACCCGGGAATGTGTACAAGCGTGACATTTATAAGGAAGTATACATGTATAGAACTAACATTCTATAAAAGGTTTATCGCTTCAAGTAATAGAATAACAACACATAAAACATGTATGTGAATAAAGTAGGCAGTAAAAATATGACAATTAAATAATACTCACTATTTATATTTGATATCATCATTTGACAGATCGTCCAGTTGATCAATAAACGCCGCATTTTGGTGTTCTATGGATTCTCTCTCTTCATCAACAGCGTGTAACAGATTTTCTGTCATATAAGAAAGTACGTGTCATGTTTAGATTTTCTTAGTTGATATGTAAACCATTTCGTGTACGTTTAAATGTCATAGCACTTTGTTAAATAGAAACATTACTTACAAACTAGCGTTAAAGAATGTGGCCATGATGATGTCATTTTGAAAAACGATAGCAAATATTACTTTTAAGTTTAAAAAGCCAAGAATGTGATACACAGCGATAATGTGAACTAGTTGTGAATATTGTGTTTTTATGTTATAAAGTAATTAGAAGAGGGCGCCATTTATCGATCGTTTTACTTTTTGATGGTAGGCTGGGTAGGTCTATCTGATGGTAGGCAGTGCAGTTGGATGGTAGGCAGTTTAGGTATATGGTACGATGTGTTTGTGGGTGGTAAGCTGACAGTTTGTAGGTGTATGGTAGTTATGCAGCAGTTGGATTGTAGCAGTTTAGGTCGATGATAGGCTGTGTTTGTGGGTGGTAGGTTGTGTCGGTATATGATAGGCAATGTAGTTAGATGGTAGGCTCAGCGTGTTTGTGGGTGGTAGGTTGTGTCGGTGTATGATAGGCAATGTAGTTAGATGGTAGGCTGTGTGTGGTAGGCTGTGTAGGTGTGGTAGACAGGTGTGGTAGACAGTGTAGTCAGGTGGTATGTAGGCTGTGTTTGTGTGTGTGGTAGGCTGTGTACACTCCCCTCCATGAATTGGCAACCTTAGCTCAACTTAACGTATAATATTGATGGAAACTACCCTGCGTGCAGAGTCTAGTTAAACTACACTCTGCCTAGTAGAGACCATATTACAGTTTAGTAGCCCCGCCCACGACTGGTACTTGTGACAGTTTCGGTATATCACTTTTGACCTTCGTGCTAATCAGCGAGCTTGAAGAAACATACGCCAAATGCGTTCTAATTAAATATGCGCATGTCATTGGTCAATTCCGGGCTCAACGATGACGTCAGAAGGAATGACCATATAAAGAACGTCGGTCAAATTTGGCCGACGAACACTAAAAACCGTATTTCTCTATCAGAAACAATGATATATGGTTAGTTGAGGTGAGAAGATAAGACGTAGTAAGGTCATTAAAATATTATACAATGCCCCTGCCTTGTGTTTTGGAAACAACATTTTGCTCTCCAAAACATGATTCAATTCTATGTCTGCTTACAACATTCGAATAACACGATTTGATTGACTGAACACTTATATTCCACTTGAAAACAAACTTAATTGCTACCATGACGACACAAACGTGACGTCATAATATATCTAGTTCGCATTGACATGACCTTGAGCTGGAAATAATTATTTCACTGTGACGTCATGTATACATTATGAAATCATGGAGGTTGTCTGTAACAACAAACATCCAAGAGCAACCTAACAAAACAAAGAAGTCTATGCAATCTATTTACGAAGACGTGTTTATCGCAACTGCAATAACAAGAAAAGCAAAGATGGTGTACGTTGAGAGATGTTTAGTGATGGTTGAAGATTTAATGTCTTTGATACAGGCTCTGTCATCGGATGCAATCGATATCGTCACGAAGTAAGTTTACATTATAGCATAGCTAAAGACAGCTCTTCAACTGTGCAGATTTTTCGTATTCACACAAGTTCTCCTCTCTTTCAAAAGTCCGTTTTTCTTTCTCTATTTTTACTTCATTTTATTCTCGAAAGTTTTTAATATCCCAAGTTTGTTATTCAAGTCGACGTTTTTTTGCTGATCTATATGGACAGAGTCACAATTTAAAAATGTTATTAAAATCACCAGGAATATTAAACACATGTGACGATCTTATTATTTATTTATTATAGTTTGATGCAGAGTATTGCCAGTCTACTTAGTCGCATATCAGCATGTTTGGCCCTCATATTAGATGTCATACGAAACGCTGCATACTTGGAAGATTATCTAAAAGGTAATTGTTATAGCTTTTTCGATACTTGTCTTCCGATAGTTTCTAATTTTTCTAATTCTTCGGGAACGAACGTCATAACAAACTGAATGATCTACTTATTTTGTATAAAATAGTTGACAATTGGGTGACGGGTAAAAAGTAACGGTTGAGGCCTAATGAACTTTATTAAGTCATATTTTAGAATCATGTTTTTATTTTATCAATTGCAGGAGTTGTTGGTTGTTCCCACACGACTCCGCCAACGCAAGTTCACGCTGAAGAGACTGTCAAAGTTGACGATGCACAGGAACCGACGCCCCTTGGCAACACGAATGACAAATACTCAAAACGATCGACAGAAGATGGTGTTGCGATAATATACCCCTCACACATAGCTAGTCGGTCTATTGAAAAGGAAACAACCGATTGTATTAAAGCAAGAAGCGTCAGCAGATCACCTAAGATAAGAATGGGCACTCGTCCTTTGAGACAATCCCCGACAGATGTTGATTTCTTTGACATTGATTCTAAGATCTATAATACCATGCGACGCCAACGTTTGACCACTATGCCAAAAATAAAGCATGGAATCTCTGCGTTGAAGCCTCTAACACGTGATGCCCCGATGCTCGACATCCACGACATCCCCGATTCAAACGTATGCTCCGAGTCTACTCCAAGTGAAATTGTTGACATGAGCGATTCCACTAGCATAACAGAAACAACTCCCCACAGGACAGTTGAGTCAAAGCACGAAGCGAATAGACAAAATACAAGGCAACAATCGCCAAAGAAGTCACTCGCGAAACGGATAAGGAAGTTCTTGACGCCTAAAAAGTTGATTACATTTGGAAGGAACTTGAAAAATCCCTATATCACTTTAGCAAATAGATACTGTACATACATCTTTTCTTGACATGTTTTGATACCAATTGTTGTTATATGTTTTTATTATTATGTTAAATACTTTGATTGATTAAATGTATGTATGTTTGAATGTATAACTGCAGTAATAAATTGTGATTGCACGTACACATCGGTCTTAAATTTAGTATTCATGAAAGACAAAAATTGATTTAGATTGTCATCTAATCACAATCACTTTTTCAATTTTAACACTTCTCTCCACGTGATACCATCCGATGCTTTCCTCGTCGTTATCCTTTAACATATACCACATATGCTACATTTTCAAATAATTTATTAAAGGCAGAATCTGATCTATAGGGGGTGATAAAATTACAAGCAACATGTATAATTGACCTACTAATCTATTCCTTACAATATCAAATACAACATGTCCCAAAAGATTCACACTATGTTATAATTTATAACGAAGTTGATAATGATTCAAAATGCAAAAATTAGTGGAAAATGTTTAAATTATCCCAAGTGAGGCTGCTTCTATTAGATCTAGACTATACTGATCAAGAATCATATATTAAGTAAATGATGGCATCATGCAGTATCTTAATGTGTGAGGTTCCATATCCATCCGCCAAAAGGAATGACCCTAAATAATCCATTTAAAAACCTGCGATATTGTTCTAAATAATGCCACAGTTGGCTTCTAGGGTACATAGTATGCCATTATTTGGTATTAAAATAAAGAGAAAGTTCACCTTTCATTTTGATAACGAACAGAGCAAAAGAACCGAGCAAATGGTAGCAAATGCGAGTTACAATAAATGGACGCTGATATCTTGAAAAGTAACCTATAATTTGATGTAGACCTATATTGACAGGTACATGTAGATATATTACACCATAAGGGATAAGCGTTTCATTGTTGGTCATGAACGCCAAAGTCAGAATTTTCGGATTTCATGTTGGATTACGGTAATCACACCTTAACTGCGCATGCTAGTATACAATTCTTGACAACACTCAGATTTTTTCTATACTTATTTATCAACATAAAAAATATTTTTGATGTAAGAAAATTGGAAATTGCCACGAGGCCCTCAATCTAATCAACTTGGGTCTCCGTTCCGTTTATTATGGCCTTAATTGCGGGCAACTGTGTAGGGTCTAAAACAGTCAACCAAGCCGGTGTAAAAGGGTAAGAGGCCCTATCAAATTATGGTCCTACTCTCCTTTGATTTATATGGTGACATGAATACATTTTTTTCCTTCATTATCTCATGCGCAATCAGGGCCAGTAAGGGCCGTTAAGAAAGGGGACCATAATCCCTGGGGGACCATCATTTCTTTCAAACCGCCATATTGTTTTTTATAAGGGAAGCTTATCGTAACCATTTAAGGTCCAAAATCAAAAATCCAATAGCCTAGATGCGAGTGGAAATAATCTTAATTTACGTCATTAAAAATTCAAAATTAAGTCAAACTGATGTCATTTTGGAATCTACATGTAAAATTACATCTAAAATATGGTTTTAAAAAGAGTTTATCAACTTTGAAAATTTAATTTTCTTTGAAAATGTGACTTCTAGGTCGAGGAGATTCCCCATAGCCCCCAGGATGTAAAATCACAAAAATGGAAATATCTTTTCTTGTGTTGGGCAGAAATCATTTTCTTTTACTGGACATATTTTGATTTGTATAACTATCAGATACATTAGGGTAATATGAAAAGTGAACTACTAAAACTGATGAATATTCAAGTTTAAGGGAATTTTGTAATACCCTGCCATGTTATTTCCCCCGAATCAGCCACCTGGTGGCGAAACTGGTAACTATCAACTCGCATCTGAGTAATTGGCATGCCCTTCGGGTAGAACTCTCCTCACTGTTTGTACCATTGAGATCCATAAATTGACAAAGTTCGAATTAGAATTTCTCAAATCACAGCCCATCGATGTTGAAAGAATTTCAGATAAATTTCAACAAAAATATCTCACGAAAATCAAAAGTTCTGCTCTCTTACATAATTGGAGTACCAAAACGTCATCATATTTATGTACATGTACATTGACCAATTCACCACTACCAAGGTCATCCATCCGCAGAAAATAATCCCAAAGATTTTACCGTTCACTGTTATGATCACATGTTTTCCAGTTATTCTGGGCATTATATGCCTGCAAATTATAGTATTCTATCCAAAGATAGCACTGTAGTATACCACTGAAGTCCCAAAACAGGTTTTTAATAGAACTACTTTCCTCGGCCTTCGGTCTCGCGTACCTGCTATCAAAATTCTGGTTACGCCGTTGAACTATACGAGTGTACCGCTATAAAAGAAATTACGGCCCCTGGGGATTATGGTCCGCATTCCTTACGGCCCTTACTGGACCTGACTGTGTATAAATAATAAGGAAAATAATTATGATTAGGTCACCATATAAATCAATAGAGAGTATGACCAAAATTTGAAAGGACCACCTACCATTTTTAACGCCTTCTTCATAAAATCTATGCTTCACACCCAGAACACTATGTAACAAGGTACAAATACAAACATTAACGCAGCACCTTGGCGAAATTACCCTCGGGATCTTTGCCACGGAGGGTTGAAACAGGCAATTTCAAGGTATTCCTCTTCATGAACGATTGTGCATGTATCAGCAAGGGGGATCTGAGGGGGCTGGGGGCCTCAAAATTTCAAAATTTAGGCTCACGTTTGGGTTTTAGGGGCCCAAAAGTTTTTTCTCTGACCTGAAATCCCCGCCCCCCTTGTTGGTTCCCAGATCCGCCCCTGCATATCCTCATTGACTGTGATCTTCATACGGATGCACAAAGGAACTTTAAATATTGAACTTTGCAGAAATTAAATTATTGACTTTAATGCATTTTCTAATTTGCCTAAATACTGTTCAATAGGAACACAGCTGCTTTACAAAGCCCATTGGCCAAAACAATACATGAAATAATGTGCAATAGAAGAGAACATGGTGTTTGAATATCAACTTTTACATATAAATCCCTTCAGTCGCCCGAAGGCATTATAGAAGGGTACATTACTAGAGATTTTACATTTTGGCATGCCATCTCCTGATACCTTGGTGAACTAAGTCATGTGATCATTTATATCCAATCAGAATGCATTTCTGCCACATAGTGATAGCATAGTGATCCAAAGATAAACCAAGGTGTAGGAAGGGTTTATATTTTCAGGAAGGGGTGCACTTTTCTAATTGGCCATGGTTGACATGCATGTTTGCAAACTTAGTACTTGCACCAAGAGCTCTGACTGGCATCCTAACAAAATAAATTCATACTACACTGTTGCCTGGGTCACATTTGCTCCGTTTGTTCAATATTGTATTTAATTTTGAACAAAATACTCAATCGGCATGGCGCCGTAGTGAAAATCGGAGCAATCTGCTTACAAGTACACAGTGTATACCAATAGCATAGCAATTTCTAAGAAGGGTTTCCAAAATGCTCCATCATGGAATACCTTGACCCTCTCTTCTTACATGATAGACACAGACATGTTTCTAGATGCGATGTGTACCAGAATGAAAGCTCTGGCTTCTTCCTAACTTGGCGGGAGGGTGCAAAGTACTTTCTTGATCATTAAAAATAAATGCCATTGTCACAGGAACTCTGCATTTTTATGATCATAAAAAGAGAATGGATTGCTTTCTAAAGCTGTTTTCTTATTTTTTCTATTTTTATAAATGAATTCAAATTTTCAAAAGCTTCTATAATTTCAAATAATATATTTGGCACACTTTCTCAAAAATGCAATAGATTCTGTCTGGTGACCTTTCTAAAAGTCTAACTTTTAACTGTTTTTGAGTCACATTTTCTGAGTCACACTCCTCTGTGTATACTTTCTCCAGTATGTATGAATCGTAACGTAGGTTAATTTCCCATGTGCCTAAACCAATATTTTATTGTTTTATTTACTTTCTGTGTATGTGTGTATGGACTACTATTTATTTTTTCCAGTGTATATATGAAACAATACATTTTAACTGTGTGTATTGACAAATATCATGTACTTTCTCCAGTGTGTATGAGCAAATATTATGTACTTTCACTAGTTATTTAACCAATACTCTGTACGTTCATACACACTGGAGAAAGTACATAGTATTTGTTCATATAAAATGTGTGTTCATAAACAATGGAGTACATGATAGTTGTTCATACATACTGGTGTACATACACAGGCGTGTTGGTTCATATACATGTCCATACTGGAGAAAGAGCGTAATGTCTCTTCATATACATTATAGATATTGTACTACATTAAATTCGTTCATACTCACTGGTTTAGGTACATTTTATTCGTTCTGACACATTGATTAATTAACAAAATATTGAAAACACGGAAGAGAATGAACAACGTTTTGTTTCATGCACAATGGAGAAAGTACAAATCATTTGCTAATGCATGTTGGAGAATGGACACAAAATATTTGTTCATACATGCAGGAGAAAGTACAAAAAATGTGTTCATTGAAAGTGGAGAACCCAGATTATACTTTCTCCAGTTTGTATGAACAAATTCATCAATGTTTTTCATGCAACACATTTTAATTTGTAATTTAAGGTGCTATGTAAGTTAACAGAAATGACAAAATAAAAAATATCAAAACCATGCTGGATTCTGAAATTTTTTTGAACCAAGATAACAGAGTTCTGTTTGGACCTCCAGTCAGTTTAACTAGTTCAACATATTTACATGGCCGGGAACACAAGGAAAATGGTCAGAATGACTATAAACATGATGAAATAACCTTTTCAGCCCTCTGAAAATGTGACTGAAAAATAGCTAAAAGTAGGTGCTCAGGAAAGGTCAATGAACAGAATCTCTTGATTTTTTCAGAAAATGTGTCTAATATATTGTTCTAAATGATACAATCTTTGAAATTTTAAAAATTGTCTGAAACAATAATTGCTGTAGTAAAAGGAAAATAGATCGATTTTAAATTCAGTTTTTTCAGTTTTTTCTTTTTCTGAGAATGATATGAATTTTTTTAAATTGTATCATTTAGAGTAATATATTGGGCACATTTTCTGAAAAAGTCAAAAGATTCTCTTCAGTGACCTTTCCTGAGCACCTACTCTTAGCTATTTTTTCAGTCACATTTTCAGAGGACTGAAAAGGTTATTTC